CAGTAATTTGCCATTCATGATAAACATCGCAAAGGAGAAAATTCGCGACCTGGGCCATCCGATCATAGAAAAAAAGAAATATCTCCGACCGTATTCAATGGGTGACCTACCAGCTTAAATACATCAGATGAAAGCCGAGTGGGTGTTAGCAGCAGCCCCCACGGGGGCCCTGCGACGGTCCTACGGGGGCCCTATTTAGGTCCAAATAGGGCCCCCGTAGGACCTTCGCAGGGTCCGCGTGGGGGCTGCCCGCCCAACAGTGGGCTAAATTTGGCCCCTCAGCCTGTCTACACCCAGTCTATGACTCTCACACACACTCTTTACTTCCAATAGCCTACACAGGTATAGACATAAAGTAGGCACCTAGCTGCATCTACAAGTAGGCTATTCAAGTAGGCCACTATGGCAAGTTTGGTAAATTACCGAATCATACCCCAAATTTTTGGTGTAGGGGTATGATTCAGTAATTAGGGGTATGATTCGGTAAGGATTCATAGTTTCGGGGTATGATTCGGTAATTAGCCCCATGAAAGACACTCCCATCAGATTTGGCAGCAGGTCTAGACTCTCAAGTTTACATAGACAATCTACACTAAAGTTTTGATTGGCCAGCAGGAACTTTAGAAGACTGCTACTCCATAGCATCAGCATCTAACGCGTCTTCCCGACCCTAGCAGAATCGCCAGGGAAGTCCCACCGAGCACATACTCTACGATTGAGATGGGAATATGCTCTAACTGATGAAGCCCTATTTGCTTTTTGCTTCAACTTCATTCCCTGCCATCATCAAATAGTCCTTCGCTGTTGCCATATGCAGCGCCGTTGCGGCTGGAACAAATTCTTGAGGTCTATATTGCAGTCAGGGGCGCATGACACAGTTTGACACAAGTCACGGGAGCAGTGGGTGATAGCTATACAGGTGTGGGCGGGTGGGATAAAAAATGTTATGGCTCGGAAAGAGATGACTTCGAATGAAGAGTTGCTCTCTGAGGAGGAATAGATGTCTGTAATGCTCGTTGTGAACAAGTGTATCCTGCTATGGGCACATATACGAAACCTGCGCCCATGTCACGAGACCCACTGTGACGAACTTATAATTCATCTTTGAACCGTGAGCTTGGAAGAAGTGCAGAAACTGTTTTCAGGTCCTCACCTTGATACCCTCTCGCAAGTCTTTTCACCTCAATTGTCAATGCCTTGAGATGCGTGAAGTCATCAGCGTCCTCACCCAAACCCCAAGCAAACGCACCGCCCAGACCCTTCTTTTCCATAATGGCTGGGAACTTTTTAGCGATGACATATGGCGTGTCCCAGCTCCACCAAAGGTTTTCCTCCGGATCCCAGTAGTAGTGACCTCCATATTCGCTATCGTACTTGCCATGTGCGATGGCTTTTTCGTACGAGGCGGACACGTCATCAGGAGCAGGGTCGTGCCATGAAAAGGCACCCGCCTGGCCAAGGTCGGCGCCTGTTAAGGGGTCTTCCATCAGAGCGGTCTTGCAGCCGACCGGGTTTTTATCGCATCCTCCATGGGGATCGGTCTTGTACCATTTGATGTAGAACGCAAAACCTAGATTCATCTTCTCCGACGGAACGCCTCTCTCTTCGTAGGCTTCGATGGCGGTCAGAGATGACTCGATGCCGGTATGGTGTTTTGTGACATTGTCTCTTCTGTTCATTAGATCGTAGGTCATGACATTGAAGAAATCCAGCGATGCGCTAATTGCCGGTATCGTGGACTTGGTGAAGGCCAGCATATCTCTAGGGAGTCCCGGCACAGCAGCCGATATGAGCTTTTCGGGACCCAGAGCAGAACGAATCTCCGATAGCAACAGTGGATAAGCTTCAATCTCCCAGGCTTTCTCTGGATTCGGGATCTGCTTGTAATCTTCGCCGTTTCCACTGTCTTGGTTTTAGCGATGCATGAGCTGTCAACCGTGGAAACGCTACAGCAACAGGCTTAGGAGTATAGTCACTAACCCGGGGTATTCCCAATCAATGTCAACACCTGGAGGGAGTTTAGAAAGACCATATTCGGCTTCAACGCATTCGGCTTACCATCTGCACCAGTGGCATCCACCATTGATTTCACGTTATGTGCGAACAGCTTACGAGTAATTTCGGTGGCTGCCGCGATGCCGAAACCTGCTGTATTGCCCCAGCCTCCAATGGCTACCATAACGGCCGTTCCATCCGTGAACTGCGAACGAGCTACTTCTACTGTGGTGAAGAGAGGCCATGACGACGGTTGCACTTGATTGAATGTTGCGGAACTCATGAAAGCCAGAGCCACATGCGTGATGTCTGATACAAGGGATTTGTCAGGCACGACATTATGCTGTCTATCATGCCATAAGTAGAGTGCGTAGGCGAGAGAATCTAAGCTTACCAACCCAGTAAGGTACATCATATATCTGGTACTGGCACTGGCCATATGAGCCATGGCGATGAGAGCGGCTAAGAAGCGCATGAACATCTTCGAGGCTTGCGATTCGTATGTAGGAGGATCTTCTGTCTGACATCCACCGCAAATCGCACAGTCAGCGCCAGCGATTCTCAACACCAAACAGTGCTGCTACCGGGCTCAGACTTGGAGGAAAAAAGGTCAGATATTCAATGGAAGCTCAGCCTTGATCAAATGATTGTTCCGCCAGCATGTCGGGATTTCTTAAGTACTGTACAACAGTACCGAGCTTGCCTAGCGGCCGGAGTTAGACGTCTCTGTCCTGTATTGTACCTTACCGGCCCGCCTAAGGTCAAGTACGGAGGTCGGCACTAAAAGTCCTGCACAGCGCTAGTATCAACCCTAGCCCTGCTATCGGCAGGTAACTCTGTAGCGGAGGACTCTTGGACTACATCATAGGCGCAAGAATTGGACTTCAGGGATCTTTCGGGGCGCGATACCGGTCCTTCAGGCCCCAAAGTGGGCAAAGGCGAGGTGCAATACCGAGAGTGTTCTAAGTGCAGTGGTTAGATCGTTACTACCATAGGCACTAAGCATTCTTATGGACCCTCCACCTCGGATAAATAACTATGATTATTATCATCACTAATGTGCTGTTGAAATCAACCACCCTTCGCTCCCTCGACCGCCTCCACCTCATCCCCAAAACTCTCAATCCGCCCCCCACACATCTCCACGAATCGCTCCGCCATCTCATCCCCTTTCCTCTTCCGCGAAACACACCCTCCCCTGAACATTGGCCTTCTGACCTTTTCAACCTCCAACCTTCTCAAGGTATACCGTTCATTGATGTACTCATCACTCCTCCCATCACTGCCCCAGTCCAGCACCCATTGGGCAAAAGCGCGATCGTTCTTGCTACTACCCTGACAGGTGAGGAGTCGATGAGCCCATGCCGTGATGCCCGGGTCGTCTCGAGGCATCGACTCTGCGTGCGCGCGGAGGAGGAGCGCGAAAAGTCTGACGGAGACCGTGGCGTTGTTCACAGCCTCGGAACCGGGGCATTGATCCAAAGTTGCGACTTCGGGCCCACCGCGCTTTGCGACCAGCCGAAAAAGCTCCGCCGGCGGCTCAAATGGGCGATCGTCATGCGATGCGGTCTCCTGGTACTCGGCAAACCTGCTAGCGTGCCATATGAGGACGAGAAGCGCTTCGTGGTTGCCCTGCACAATCGCATTCCTCATCCCTTCGGAAAGCGCCGACGGATCGTGCTGTACCGTACGGAGGTTCACGTGGCTGCAGACCATTTGCACAAAGTCGATTCGGGAATCCGTCCATGTTGGGTGGCCCGTGAGAATGTGCGAGGGCAGGCATAGAACGTGCGTAGGCGATACCGTCAAGTTCGGAGTCGCGCGGGTGTCGAAGCGCGGGTCGTGTCCGTCGTAGGTCATTCGTAGGGCGGTCGCTAAGCGGCGTGGGTACTCCAGAGCGATGGTGCTTCCATCGAGGGCTGTGGCGCTGAAGGTGCAACGGCGGGTTGGAAGTTGGGCGATAAAGGCGTCTAGGCGCGTCTGATCGGAGGGTAATAATGGCAGGTGAAGCGTCAAGAGCAGGTCCTTCATTACTGCCGACATGGCTTCTGAGAGATACCGTTTCGCGCGGTGGAATGTACACCATCGGTACCCGAGCACCGCCTCTTGACGTTCCGTGCGTGCGTGGGCGTCGTCGGTTTCTCCGCTAGGCACGGGCAGCGGGCAGAAAAGATCCTGCACGTGTGGACCGGGCTCGTAGGCTTGTTGGACTTGTGCTCCAGCGTAGACGAGAGGCGTCCTGTTCCAGAAAGCGTGCAGGAAGGTGAGTTTGTAAATGTGTTGCGTAGAGAGAGCGGTTGCCAGTATAGGTGATGCGAGGGGTAGGTGGGGTGAGAGGCAGTGTAGGTAAATAGATTGGATGATTTCGGTCGGGAGGGAGAGCAGATGCGGTTTTGCCATGGCCAACGACTGGCTTTGCATCGATATTAGCAGATGCGATGCTGATATGTATGAGAGGGAGATGAGTGGATGATTAAAATGGAGAGGGGAACTGAGCGAATAAAAGACAATGTTGGTAAGTAACAAATCTGGACTGCGTCGCGAAATCCGGTGTTGTAAGGTATTAACGAATTCGTTGCGAAATGCATCGAGAACTGCTTGACTCGATGGTCGTATTTAAGATGAGAACGCTCTCACACAGGGATTGGGTTGATTACTGCGCCGCTTCCTCATCGTCTCAGTTTTCAATACCACTAGTAAAACAAATCCACGGGTGTTTGTATTTTTACACGCTTACTTGTACCTTTCTGATCATAAATCACGGGAACAGAGAATGTCCTCGCTTTCTCGAACATCAAGACTAAAAGTACATGGACCCAAAATCTCATCCTACATTACCCACTCGGTGCCTCTCATATATCCTCCTTCCACCATGAGGAGGGAGAACCGATAATCCATCCACATTGAGATGCAAGGTGCCACAGAAAATTGGAAACACCAACACTATCATCAACCGTTCATCCTTGCCATCGCTAATTAACCCGCCAATTCCAGGAGACAACCTCCTATGTCCAGTGAATGACCTTGTCGTACGACTTCGCAGGTACAGAGCCAAGCCCGTGCGACACATCAGACAAGGTATTCAAGTCGCGTGGGTGTAGACTGGCTCCAGGCTTCAACGTCTGTGAAGACACGTCGAAACATCCACTGGTCATATTCGAGGTGCAGACATTGTAGATGGTGTGAGTGCACATATCACAGTACAGCCCCTCCTGCGTGGACACGAAGTCCGGGCCCATGGAAGTGGTGCTATCACAGACTTCCTGAGCGCTGTGCGCTATGTGGTCACTGATGACGACGCTACTGTCACCGCAGGCTTGATTGCTACGCCTGATCTTCGATCTGCGCTTCGCGCCATTACTTTCAGTTCCCAGCATTTGAGATGCGTTCATCGGTGCATTGATTTGTGCATGCATCGGGACACCCGGACCTGGAGTGCAGGAGACACTCCCATCGACCAATATCAAGCTGGTGTCAACAGGATCACTGCCGTCGGATTGATATGCCAATGGTGGGGAAAAGACTGGGATGCACTGTTTCTCGCTGGTAAGGTCGGAGCCCCAGAGGTGGAATCTTGGCTTGCTTTCGCACATCGTAGCGGGGTTTTCTTGATATCCCATCGCTCGCACTTGATTAGACCCAAAGTCTGGGACGTGGATGCTGAATCCCTGCGCGAATTCGTCCCCGGTCCCAGGATCCGGACTATCGAGCCAGATGCAGCTTGGTTTGAACTCTGGATCTTCATTGGTTTCGACGAGGAGGTTGGAAGGATACCATTTCCCTCCACATTGCTTCCCTACGTCGCCGTAGAATTGGTTCTTGTCGCCCGATGCCATGGTGATGGCGAGATAAGCAATGCATATCTGGTCTGTTCCGCCACTGGTGATGGATATGTATTCGGCGGGTGCATTGTTGGTGTGGTCGTGGTGCTTGACAACTATGTCTTTGAATTCGCCTGATTTTATGGTCTTCTTGCCATGACTGGTTCCTAGTTGATTCCCATTGCCGTCGAACAATGCAATATTGGGTATGTTGCCTCCAATGGTTCCGTTCCCCAGGTCACTTTCTTGCGCCAGACCGACTCCGATACGCACAGTGGTGGTTGCTTTGTAGGGTTTGGGAAAGAAATCTATAGCGAGCGGAATCATGGATAGAGCCAGGAAAGCTCCATTCAAAGCAAGAGCCATGTGACGGGTGTCTGTCGGCGATTCGACTGATGAAATGCGGAAACTCTGACTGCTGATAGGTAAAGGGTGCAGTGACTGGTGAAGGTATCTCGGCCAAACTCAAAATGAACGACAGAGTATAATAAAGGACAAGGTCAAGGTAGAGATGCTAAAAAAATCAAAGACGTTATTTGTGAGAAAACGAAAGGCGCGGTGGATGAACACAAGGCAGCTCACCACCTACATAAGTACAGCTACATATCATAACAGTGTGTGCCATTGCTCGGGGATGCTTCGTAATGATATTCAGGTACAGACCCCTCAAATAAGACATACCAATAGTTGGTATCAACGGTAGTACTCTGGCACACCGGATGTGTGGGCGATCGTTGGGTTGTTCTGGGTTCTCATACAAAAGCCAAACATAAACCATGAACAACGAGATTCGCATGTTCCAAACCATCAACACAGCCTCATCAGAGAGTTGAATTACGTGTGTGCTCACCTCCAATCGCGACATTGCTTTGCCCTCACCCTAAGCCACTGACGGGGTCAAATCTTGAGAACATAATGACTCCAGGTGCGTGCGAGAGGAAATGAAAGGATAGACCTGAGGTTCACGACTGAGGTGTGGTTGTGGGTGGTGTGAAGCATGGGTCGCTAATTACAGGCCAGCTGCTTTGTAATCTGTTACAGAGGTTTCATACTTTACACTAGCGCCAATACATGGATTGATCTTCTCCCCTTCGAGTAATGCTAGCGAGTCAGGATCATCATCACTTCACACCACACGACCGTTGAAACACAACAACAGCGCCGGCATAACCAAAGCTCGCATCCACAATGGACACTTTTGTAACAATGCCATATGATTTGAAATTGCCATGCCAAGGCGACAATGCGACCAGTTTAGCCAGGATGTTTTGCGACTTACAGGAAACTTACATCTGTACGTTCACACACACGAATGCGAAAATAGATCCGTTGTGCTCACACAGGAGAGCGTGGCCCAAAAGTAGGTAGCAGAGTCATCAGTCCGGCCAGAGACTGCCAAATCCCCCTTCTCGCTAAGCATCGCATAATCGAAATGCAAGTCGGAAAGAGTCTTCGCTGGTGTATATTACATCTCCAAGCTCTCTCCGTGTTCACCGAATTTCGAGCGGCAGTGACATGATTTGATCCGACTAGACTTCTCTGATGCTCAGCACCCAAGCAGATTGCCTAGTTTCATCTAGTATCAGACTCCAGGTTGATACGTGTTTCAGGCAATTATGACAGTGTACGATAATGGAATTCTCGAAACGTTTGAACGCATCTCATGTTGTCGCTCCTTATTCAAGAGAAAATGAAATGCCTCGTCGCGATCGTTGCAAGGATTGGCACCACTAGTGCATCTATCGAGGCACATCTCGAACTAGCCTCTGAGCAAACATTCCGCCTAGTGGAACAATCTATCATCTTGAAGCCTCACGATGCTTGTACATCCAATCTACTGTTGCTGTTGGTAATCTGAATATGTTGATACAATGTTGTCATTAGACTAACATGTGCAATTCAGCTGCAGGTGTAGCGGGATGATCGTATGCCGATCGCCCTTGGCTGCAATTGAATGGGTCAGGCAATTAGCAGCTTTACCAGAGACTGCTCAGGACTTTTGTCTCAGCACGAATGCTCAGCCCACTCCAACATGTTATTTTCTCCTTACTACTTGAAGGAGGTACCATGAGATTGCCTTTTACATGTCCGCTCAAAAGAAATTTTCACATACAAAAAGGCTTCAATCCTTTGTATTCCTTCACTATCTTAGCGACCATAGTCCGTTCAGAGTCGACAGGAGTTCACTTCGTTTCCGGTATCGTCAACAGTCATTCTTTAATCTACCATTGATTTTCTAGGCTCATCTTATTCGATCCGGATCCGCTCCTTCCCTGAAAGCATCGACTTTCAGTATTCCATTTCCGAGGGAAAATCATCCAAATGCATCTTTCAACGCGTAGCAAGTTACTCGCGATCGCGTTAAACTGTCTTTACGTTCCCCTCCTAGTTCGAGGTCTACCATACAATGTCAACGAACTAGTTGTCCGCGCAGATGTTGTGGATTTGGACCCCACTGTCGACGATACAACCGGTGCCGACGATGACGGGACAACCGCTGCAACAGGCACACAAGACGCGGGATCTGACACATCAACGGGTAAGTTCTTCTTATATTATTGCAAAAACATCCCCTTTCCAACCAGTGTCTAGAATATGACTGGCCCTGGCCCGTCATTCCCGACTCTGGTGCACACAACGGAATAAGTGAGGGTCTCGACTCGGCCGGACGGCCCTACATCAACTACGCCTTGAACACAATCGAGGGCGCCATACCGGCCGAGCGTCGAAGTCCTGTCTTTTTCACGGATGTGAAACCGCCTCCGCCTGACAATTTTGTGGAGGAACACCTGGGCGGCAACGGATGGGACTACTTTGATGCGTTTCCCGAAGGCTGGGAGGTACGTTATGGAAGGGTTTCTCTCCTCTGATGTGCCCTAGACTTGTTTTTAATGATGACTGTACGTTTTGGAAAGGGCATGCTGACTTTGGCATTCTCATAACAGGATAGTTTTGGGAGTCAAAGAAGGATACCATTGTCAGATTCAGAGTATTGGCTCATTGTCAATAGAGCTTCAAATGGTAAGCATTCTCAAGGACATTCCACCAGCAGGAATGAAAACTAACAGAGTGTCTTCAGCCATGGCTCGAAGCAACATGGAGCCCGAAGTCTTCGTCAGCATGGACTCAGAAGGCGGCACTAGAAGCGTGTTCAACGGGGTTCAAACCTATGATGGTAAAGGCGACATTGAAAACGAAGCTACATGGAAGCCTACAAATAAGGGTATGCTTCCTCTCGAAACCTCACATCCGACGCACATACATTATTGACACGCCGCTCATCACAGGCGTCGGCCAAATCTTTTACCAAACCGAACTTCCCGTCCTGATGCGCAACCCCAACACCAAAAAGATCACTGCATATAAGAAGAACGACCAAGGCAATTACGAGTTCACGACGCAGTGGGACGCTAGTTTGCCCCGCTCCAATGTAAGCAGTATTTTCCTTCGCGCAGGTCAGATGCGCTGTCGGAAAAGGTGGCCATCGCAGCGGAGGAGTCCTCAGAACCCCGACAAAATCAACAGAGAGGACGAGCTTTTCTGTTGATCGGACGCTTCGTTCGAACAGCTTCTACCAGCAAGTGGCCACATCTTTCAGTGTCTGACACCCGTGAATGCGGGGAACTCACAAGTCGCCAAAACCCACTGTTCCTGACCGCTTGCCTTGCTCTGCCGTTCAATCAGACATCAGCTGACAGCGCTTTTGTGTTCTAGCCCAACTACAAACCTCGAAACTACCTTCCCGAAATGCCGCTTGATAGCGCGAGCGGAGGACCCCGGCTCGTTCCATTCTCCACGCCCGATGGTCAGGCGCCGCAGCGTTGGGACGATGGGTATAATCATAAGTAGGTTGGTTGAGTGGGCTGAGCGAGGGTGCAGTTGTGGAAGAAGAAACAAATCCAATGGGCGTGGTTTCCGAATCTGGATAATGCTTCGGGTGTCTTCCTCCCAAGGAGAGGCGGCTGGGTGGATGCGCGCCCATCGTGGATTTTGTTTTTAAGCATCTCGTTCAAGCGGTTCAGACGTACGGTTTCATTGGGTAAGAGCTTGCCGGTGTAATGTTGGGATCTAATGACGATGTCTAAGGGGTCTCTTTTTCCTTTACTTTTTAGGGGGTGACAGGGAAGACGTGGTGCGGTGGAACCAGCGCGAGTGGTTAATTCGATTGTGGTGGTTTTTTCTGTACTCTATAGCCTTCTTGTATGCTGTATCTTGTATCGTTCTTTCGCAATCATCCCATCTAGCTGGATTTTGATATTCGAGTTCTGGACAATTCGTGATTGGGACAGAAAACAAGGGATGAATGGCATTGGCAAGACTTCGAGGTCGCGTCTAGAAATGCTGATGCTGTCTAAGCCGGCTGTTATAAAACATGGCGAATGGGAGAAGGTGGAATCGAAAGCGATGGAGAGGTCGCAACACTCTATGGCAGACAGGACACTTCTGGAAAACGGACCGCGACGACAACTTGCCAATGGGTGAGTCGAGATAAATTCTACCTATTCGTTCAAAGAGTCTTGAGTTGATATCAGGATATTTTCAGGCCACCCAGTACCGATGGGTTTGTGGACGTCTATGGAAAGTCTGGACCTCGCCACACCGCTTCAGGGCCACGATGAGAAGCATGAAGTGAATCATCGGGAAAAGGTCCATGCCTGATTCGAGATCATCAAGAAACATCGCACTGGCTTTTTGGCTTTTTGTGGGTCGTTCGGCTGGCTGAATTATACCGTTGGCTCTGGCAGTCCGCGTGTCCGAGCACCGTATTCTCCAACTGCATATTCGAATGGCATACTCCGAAAAAAGTGTCTGATTTCAAAGGTGAGTGCATCTTATAACATTCGCAGACCCGACCATCCAGTACCGAAGCGTCGTAAGGCTTTCGTGTCCGACTCGAGGCAGAGAGTAGTTGGAAAGGCGTGATTAGTCATAGAACGATTAGGGATCAGACTCCTGAATCTTTCAGATCGCCTCGGTCGGATCAACCTCTCGAGTCTACTTGGACTTTATTCTTGGATTGATGTATTTCTTAGGATGCGGAGTGCCAATATTTTTAGATGTACGAAGAATTGGAGCATGTAATTTGATGTTGGACTTTCAAAACGGCAAGTGAGCCGGCAAGCGCCAAGAAGCGGGCCATGTCACCACCGTCTAAATACCTCATTATTATTGATAATATGATAGGCTATGCCCAATATAATTAGGGCTAGGGCTATATATAAATGCTATGTAAATAGATCGCATACATAGATAGATAGAATATAAGAAAAGAACTTCATATAAGTGAATATAGGTCTAATATAAATATAAAAAGTCGCTTACTAAATTACTAGAGATTCGTTCCTTCGAGTCATTCGATTTCGATTTATAATTTATAGTAAATCGAATCATTTCGAAGATTATATCTTAGTCTTCTAAGTATATTAATTTTATATATACGCTAAGTAAATTAATTATTCTAATATATTATAGCTATAACTATATAGCTATTATCTATAACTATATAACTATTATTAATAATTATATTATCTATAATTATATTTATCTATAGCTATATAGCTATAGTCTTTAGCTATATTATAATTAATAATTATAAATTATAACTAATAGCTATAAGTTATTAAAATTAATACTTTCTTTTTATTTAGCTATTAAAAAAATAGAGATAATAAAGTAAATAGTTAATATTACTCTTCGAAAAAATCTCTATAAAGAAAGTAGAGAAAGTAAAGAAATAATATAAACTTTTAATATAACTCTCTAATTTATTCTTCTAGAATACGTAGTAATTCTTATATATAATAAGATTATTTTAAAAAAGTAAATTTAGATCTTATATAATATTAAATTTTCTCGATAGTAGTCTTCTAATTAGTTAAATAATTATATATCTCTAATAGCTCTCTATATTATTTAAATAGCTTCTTATAAAGCGATTTAATAAAGATATTTACTATTATTTAAGCTATAAATATATAGTCTATTATAATTATTTTATTTTTAATTAATTAGTAGATATAATAATACTAAATATCAATATATTTAGTTTTTTAATAATACTCGAAGTTTTTTATAAAGCTAATAATCCTCTTATTATTATTAAGTAATATTATAGAATCTTTATTTAATACTTAAAAACGAACTTCTTATAATTATTATATAGTTTATATAATAATCTTATCTTCTTCTATTAGAGTTATATATTTAGCTTCTATTATAAATATAGCTATCTCTTATTATTTTCGATTATATTATATATATATTACTTATTTATATAGTAAAACGAATTTATAAATAAACTTATAGTTCTTCTAATTATTATTATATACTAAATTTATAAATTCTTTTAATATTTCTATCTCTTAATAGCGTAGTTCTAGAAATATAATATTTTATATATACTTAAGTACTTAATTTACTATATTTATATAACGAATAATAGAATTATAATTAAATTAACTAAGCTTTCCTATAATAAAAACTAAGTTAATTTATATATTAGTTATAAGAAATATAAAATTTTCTATTCGCTTCTAATATTATAATTAATTTATATATTCTTTCTTTAATTAATTTAATTAGATTAATTTATATCTATTAATAGAGATATAAATAAGAGTTATCTAATTTATTAAATATTCTTTAAATATCTTTTCGACGTATTATACTTATTTAATAATTAAGGTATAGAATTTTTAATTATAGTAAATTTAAATATTAAGAATATAATTAATTAAGCCTATTTCGATAGCCTTAAATTCTTTATAAATTTAATATTTAATATAATTTATAGTGCTTTATAACTTAATTTTAATAAGAATATTATTTATATAGAGTGCTATAATAATTATTTTCTTTAATAATATTTAAATAAAGATATAGCTATTAGCTATAGTAACTATAAATCTTATTTTCTTAATAATATACTTAAATTTCTTATTTTAGATATAGGCTAATTGCTTAAGACTATATAATTCTTTTTAGAGAAATAATATCTTACTCTTAATACTAATTACTAATAGATAGTCTAATAATAAAATTATATAGATTTTCTTATAGAGATCGCTATTAAGATAAGTATTATTAATATCTATTTATTTTATTAAAAGATTTATTATTATATAATATAATAGAAATAGATATAGAGAGTTAAATTATAGAGTGAGGGTAAAGATCTTATAAAAATCGATATTTTCTACTTATATAAACTCTCTAATAATAAATCTAATCTTAAATTTATTAATAATTTTATCGCTATTATATTTAATCTTAAAAATCTATTTATATATAATTAAGCGTTTATTAGTCGATAGAATAGCGAGCTTTTAAATTTCTTTAGTAATTAAGATAATAATTTTCTTAATAATAGCTTACTTTTATTCGCGAGTATTTAGTTTATAAATAACTTTCTAATAGATAAGAAATTTAATTATAATATTTATAAACTTAGTCTTATTCTTTATATCGAAATTATTATAAAACTTATAAAAATTATAGCTTAGCTTCTTAATGCGAGGCTATTATATAAAGATAATAATTTAAAATATAAGATATCGCTTAGTATAATTAGAAGGATTAAAAATAGATATAAATATAATAGATTATTAAATATTAACCTTAAATATTATTTCTTAATTTATTATTTTCTTATTATTTAAGATATTAAGAGTCTCTTTAACTTCGCGAAAATTTAATAGAGATTTTAATTTAATTTAATATACATTTAGGCTATTTAATTTCAAATCTCTACTATTATTTATATTCTCTAAGAAGTTAATAAAAACTTCTCTCTCTATTTAAAAATTCTATATATCTTTAATTTCTTCGATTTATAGCGACGATATAATATTCGATATAAATCTCTTATAATTCTTTTTATTATTATCATTATTAGATATAATCTTAATATTATTTTAAATAAAGATATTATTAAAATTATTATCGTTTTAGCGAGTAAAAGCGATATCTACTTATATAAATTTATAAGTTATTAAAAACGAAGTTAGAGTTATTAATTAGACTTCTTTATAGTTCTTATAAAAATAAATATTTATAAGCTATTTAAATTAATTATTTCGAGAGATATAGATCTAATATTAAGTGAATAAATAATAATCGATATATATACTCTAGTAGACTATAATATATAGCTTACTTTCTTATTTCTCTTTTAATAGATAAATTAAATATAGATAATCGAAGACTTTTTTATAATTTAAGTTTAATTTCTTATTAAATTATAATTTATAAGATAATTTACTCTCTCTACTATTATATAATAATCTATTTTTTAAATAGTTTATATAGATTATAATCTCTAATTAGAAATTTATAAATAGATTTAACTAGTTAAATATAAATCTTATAAATTTAATTAACGTTCTATTAAATCGTTCTATAATATTATTCTAATATAGAATATAAATAATCGTAAATTCTATAATAATATCTTATTTCTTAAATATATCCTCGATTAATTTATACTTTTCTATATTATTAATTCTAACTAATACTACTTCTTTTACTCTAATTATTTTATTAATTATAATTATATTTCTAAAAATAAAGATATAAATTTATTTCTTTAATATAATAGACTCGAGGTTTAATTAATTAATAGTCTTATCGATAAATAATATAAATTACTTACTATCTTTAATAATACTAGTTATAAAATATAATTTCTAGAAGTTAATATATATTCGAGCTTTTAATATTATTTTCTTTAATTTAAGATTCTTATTAATCTATTAAATTATTTTTATAAAGTTATATATATTATATTAAAATTCTTCTAATAATTTTATTTTCTTTATATCTTTTATATAAAGATATAGATTTTTTAGACG